CCTGCAGCTGCCCTGCAGAGTGCAAAATATTTTTTTGCTGTGCCTCTTTTAGTACTATACAGATTTTCCTTGTACTTGATCTTGTGTCTTGTGCTTTTCCTATATACAAATTTGGCATATGATTGACTGATTGTGTACATTACCTGGTACTAGTCTGACTCATGGTGATCTAGTCAGAAGATCACTGCATTGCTCCTAGTGGTTTGATTGCAACGTTTCAAAAATCGAGTGGTAATGTTGACCACCGAATCAGATGTCTCAGGGTGTGCTGGAATGGTCGGGATACCTTCGTCCACCTTGAATCAGATGTCTCAGGTTGGAATCGTGGAAATAGATAATCTTTTTGTAAGAACGCTTAAAACTTTTCTAGTCATCTATTAGAGAATTCTCAAGTTTAAGCTATCATTTGTAGGTGTGAAATACGGAAAAGAACCATTCGAAAACATTTTTAAAACCGTATTCAAAACATTTTTAAAACCATATTCAAAACATTTTTAACCCTTTTTTTTCATAGACCCCGTGTATTGTAAGTGATTCAAACCTGCTTGAAGCGAGCCTCCCATAGAAGCAAATAAAATTGGTGAGTTATATGAACTAAGTTATGAGCAATATGAAGCCAAACCGGCAAGACCAAGGAACGAACGGGCGTCTTGCACAAATAGGACACTTTGGTGCCACTATTAATTTTTTTGACTCCGCTTAGCCCAATGGGCAGAACTTTAAGTTTAACAAGTGTTGCCCCTCGCTTGCCTCATGGTCAATACTTTTGACTTTTGACCTTAAAGGTTTGGGGGCAAGCGGGGGTTAAAAAATCAAGACCATCCATTTTTGAGGTCGTTGGGTGTAATTTCCTGGGAACACGAATGTACAAGGGACAAGACACCCAAACATAGAATGAGTTTGCAAATACTACCACTAAAAATTGTCACCCTCACCCTTTATAGATAGGGATGCAACAAAAAGTATTCAAAGATTCAATGTTCTTATACTTCTTTGCAGTTTGATGCTAAATTCCTTTGTTCACCAATCAGTAGTAGCAACACATGCAAATGAAAAATTTAATCTCGAAATACATTCGAAAGAAGAGGTCTAGAACGAAGACATATCTTAAGAGAGCTCTGTCCATTTTCAAAATGAGGACCAACAACAAAATGGAAATAAGTGTACAGCATGGTAAGAAGCAATCACTGTACACTGTATATTATCTAAAAAGGCTCATCGACCGAGTTATCAAAGGTACATGGTCACATTCGCGGCCTAGGTACAACCTCTAGATGAGGGGATAAGAGTCAATTCTGTTCTCTGTATAGCTATAAATGAGAGAAATCTGAGTCAATGCTGTTTTCTCTCTTCTTGTATAGACTGAAAAATCCGAGCAGCAGATTCTGTAGCAGCACTGGCATTACGAGGCACAACTTTGATAACTCTAGCCGTATGACTAGGAAAATGAGGCTGGGAGCTACTAGCGGGGTTGCTAATAGCAGGAAAAGTTGGGAACAGAGGAAACACGCTTCTTCCTCCGGTGGAGTTGCCCACGTCTAATCCATGACCTCTTTCCCTTGGACTACTTGCAGTGCTGGCTTGCAACTCAGAATCTCTAGAGGGATACAATCTCACAACCTTTGGCGCGGCTACATTATTCTCTCTCGCAACATTACTTGAGTTCTGTTGTTGAATGTGAAAATTAACTTCCTGATCTCTCGATAACAGACCTTGAAAACCCGTTGCAGCAACCTGGTCCGGTTGATCAATAGCTGGAGATGGGATTACTGGATTCATAACTGGCATGTCAAACGGAGGAAAGTAGCCATGACTAGGTTGAGGTGCGAAAGGAGCTCCCGTTCCTTGATAGTATGCCGGAGCTAAAAAGTTTCCCGTCATTGGAATCGGGGGTCCACAACCGCCATATACTGGACTCATGAATGCAGGTCCAGGATGTGGCTTGTATACTAGTCCTTCAGAAGGAGACATCACGGGTATCAACCATTGGTGTCCCGAAGGTTGATTGAAGAGCCACGGACCCATGTGGGAAACGTGTTTTACTGGTGTTGGTGACGGGGTTTCTGAAAGTGGTCTGCGGCAAGAAAGAGATGTCTCTCCTACATCATTTTCGGCATTGGATTCCATCCTAGAGTTAGGCTTCTCAGAATCATTCTTCTGTTTCGAAACATTTTCAGGTGCTTTGACATTATACTCCAATGCAAGTCTTTTAGTAGACAACCTCTTTAAAGGTTTGCCTAAAGAAGAACCATCTTCGAGTATACTATTTGGCGAACTAGCTATCAGTTTCTGGACCTAATGAGTAACAAACAGAAAAATTTGAGCAAAATACCAAGTCCAAGGAAAAACAGGGAATGCAAAATCTCAAAGCTGATAATTGAAGTTATTCAGTCTCTACAGTTGCTTTACCTTGAGTAGTCGATGCAACTCGAATACTTGGACTGCAAGCACTCTCTGTTGGCTGCAACCAGGACAATAGGGATAGGATCAATATAACAAATAACAGAGAGGAAAAGACTAGCTCTTTAATGTTGGCATCCAAGTATCAATACAAAATAAAACTAATATAAGACATTGTACAGTTGAAAATCAGCTGGAAGACAAGTACCGCTCTAAATTATATAATTGCTAAAACTCGCAAAACAAACTCAAGCAAACGGAAAGCAGGATTACCAATACAAAATTGGTAGGTCTAAGCGTCTAACAAGCCGCTTGATAAAAACAAAAGCGTCAAACAAAGCCTATCAGCATTAAATGCAAGATGAAGCACACAACAGAATGCTAGTAAATGGTAGTAACCATGTTTGCACAAGTTGTCCCTTTTCAGGTCCAAATGGAAAAGTTCACAAATGCTTTTGACATTCATCCAAGTAACACGTCATTCAACCATGCGTCAAATGGCAAAGACTAAGCCACATCATGAAGAGATCTTCAAGACACATTGTTTGATGAAGTTCTCGATATACAAGAAAGCGCAGTTGAGATGTAAATTTATGTAGAAGTGAATCACAAATATCATTGAAATAATTTGAAAAAACAACTGTATGTTACGAATGGTTATACTATAAACATGTATTCAAAAGCAGATAACTTAACACTAACAAGAACATATTGGTGCTAATTGACTGCAGAAATATTTGAGGAGCACATCTCTCATTTAAAAAAAAAAATACCATGAGGATACACAAAAGGGACAATTTTTTACTTTCATAGTACAAGTCATGATCTGAGTGGCATTTTAAAGTACATCATCAGCAAGTAAAAGTTAGGTTCAAAATAAAGCCAATTTATAACATCCCCGAAAACACATCCGCCAAAGACAAAGATAGGTCTCATGTTCGCACAACGTGATAAGAAAATGCAATATCAAGCTCAAGCATGCAACAATCAACCAAAGCTAGCACCAAGAACTCGGACTTACTTGGCAATAGCTCGTCTTGCTCTCCAGAAATGCTTTTGTCCTATTATTCTAACAATATCATCGGGAGATATGTCCACTTTAGATACACACTCCACCATAGAAGTCTCTGATAAGTCATCACTCCGGTCCGTTTCTCCTGTTTGTGATGATTTACATGTCTTTTGTTCATGGAATTCTGTATCATTAATAAGGTTATTAGGATTTATCCGCTTTTCTTATGCAAACTCCTTCAAATGAAATGAAGAATTACCCTTATCAACATCCAAGGCAGATCCGGCAAAGACAGTGCAATCAACTAGAGAATCAGGTCTGACTTGTAACCGTACAATATTGGTCTTCTGTAAATCACCAAAGGTATTTGCATGATTCTTTCTCGGTTTGAAATGCAACAATTTATCAGTTTGCTTCAAAATACCTTCTGCCTTATCCATGGATAAAGAATCTGAGGTACATTTACGGCTTATTGCACGATCTTTGGAGTTCTCTCCATTCTGGATTTTACCAAGCTGTCTCGTAATCAGACCTGTGATTTCTTTCAATTCTTTGTTTGAGCACCCTGAAATTGCTTGATTAGAGGGAGTGAGCTTTTCCATATCAATATTGTTATTAAATTTCCCATGTCCCTGATCTACCTTGAAGTTACCAAACGTGGGAATTCTAAAATCATTCTTTTCTGTTTGCTTTCTAGACTCAACTTTCTGCAACGGGGTATTTGAACCATAACTGCGGCCATGTGGCTTCTCAACTGGATGTCTTGATGCAGGAAGCTGTCTCGAGAAAAATACAACTCTTTCATGTTCATTCCCCTACACAATTTAGTTGCTGAACTCAGATATAAAAAATTCAAACAACCACAAACTTACTATCCATGCACTAAAAATAGAAATAACAGCTCAGTCGGGAAAGATAAAGTTTGACATCAAGAAACCTTCTAAACCAGTAACTAAGGAGTACCACCTCACAACTTAAGTATAAAGTCGAGGTAGCTGTAAGTATGACCACAAGGAGAGAAATGGAGGAATGGAAACGACATATTTTACGTGGAAGAAGTGATCAAACTTGCATAAAGAGACCTATAAGAAAATGGAAACACATCGACAGAGTTGAATAGCATCCTCCTGGAGCATTAAAGGGAAACATCTGGGGATTAGTTGTAGTTATTGGTACTTGATACTTGGTAAAGAAGAAAAATTCCAATGTAAGCCTTACTNCCATGATACCAAATCATAAGGTGATGACAGTTGATTCTTTTATCATCCTCAATCAATGCACCGGAAGTCAAGCAAGTCAAGGAAAAAATTCTGTACTACCATTTATCTTAACAAGAAGAACAACCTATTATCTTTTTTCTTTCTTTTGCTTTTGGTTTTTTTTAAGGGGAGCCTCGTCGCAACAATAAAAGTTGCCTCTATGTTACCGCAAGGTAACGGGCTCAAGCCGTGGTAAACAACCTCTTGCATATGCAAGGTAAGGCTGCGTACGTAAGACTCAATGTGATCCGGTCCTTTCCAAACCCCGCGATATTGGGAGCTCAGTGCAACAGGTTGTTTTACGAATTCAAAGAGGCATAAGAAGCCACTACCAATAATGACAATCCAAGCTTTTATCTGCATCAAGGTCAATGGACTACTCAACAACAAAAACTACTTATCAGTAGAGGTGGAATCAAATTTTAAAGATGATGGTGCACCTCTTAACATACAATAACAATCCAGTAAAATCCCACTAGTGGGGCCTGGGGAGGATAGTGTGTACGCAGACCTTACCCCTACCCCGAGGGGTAGAGAGGCTGTTTCCGATAGACCCTCAGCTGCAGCTCTTAACATATATACAAATTGGATTTTATATATATAGATGTAGAGTCTCCCATTGTTTATATGTTGGATCTGCTTCTGCTTACCATAACAATGTAAATTCAAGCAGAATGTCCTGATCTAAAAACCACTGACAAAGTTTAGAACGTATCCTGTTTATTTAGGAAGTAAACAACAGCTATGTGAACTTGGTTTACCTGGCTTGAGTAAGGAGGCACACTGTTACTATTATTGTTAAGAGGCAAATCACCAGGGCTGAATCTTTGAGAAGGGATACTAAGCTGTTCATAAAGAGCCATCTTGTTCCTTGGAGGTGCTCTTGGACCTCCTTTCTCTGTATCATTTACATGAAGCCTTGGAAACATTGGCCCCATTACTCTCTCTTCATCTTTCCCTCTCTTCATCCTCTTCCACCTCACTACACTTCTAGTACTTCTTTTTTTATGACCGAGAACTCTGGGACCAACCGCAGCCCTCGAAACTCTTGGATGATGGACTCACCCCTCTACCTTTCTCCACTTACTCCTCTTCTAGTCGAAGCTCGGGATAATGGGTCCGCCCCTCCTCCTCCACTTACTCCCCTTCTAGTCTTTTTATGAGGGTGGTGTTCAGGTCAGCTTACACGTACCTCAACCATTCTACAATTCTACAGGATACCTACTAGCTCCCATCATCAAAGATACAACAAAGTATTATTTTTTATGGCAGTGGTATCCAAACCAACTCGTTTGCACCTCAACTATTGCACCTCAACTATTGCACCGGATACGTACTACTCACCCGCACAAAATTATGACGATGGTTTCCAGGACAGCTTGCTCGCACCTGGACTATTTCACCACGTACCTAGTACCTCTCACCAGCACAATACAACAAAGTAGTATTTACTATTGAATAATTCAAGAATCCCCCAAGAGCAACCATCAACTATTTAGATAATCACAAAGTCAAAAACCCACAAATTAAATCAACCCATTTCCTCCAATGACTTGCAAATACAAATTTCACTAGCAAGTCTTTTCTTTTACCACAAATGTTCCATTACTGCTACTAAAAACTAATCTAACCCACTTGAGAAAACACTAAAATCCATATACTCAGAATTAAAAAAAAAAACTAGTTCTTTACCTCAAATCAAGCACTTTTAGAAGTACCCAGAAGCAAAAAGACATGAACTTTGCTTTGAACAAGAGATTAAAGTGAAGAAACAAGAAGTGATTCTTGAAATGGGAAAAGGGGAATTCTTGAAGGAAAAAATCAAAGCCAAAAAAGTTTGGCCATGGACCCAATTTTGGGTAGGATATAGAGATAGTTTATTGGAGTACAACAATTATTGTTGGGATTGTTTGTGATTGAGATTTCTTCATTTTTTTTTATGTCACATTGGTCATTAAAATAACTAAGTATATGTCTCTTTTAATATAAGTAATTTTTGATTGGTAGACAATAAGACAAATATCAGTTCATTGGGGAGACGGTCGCCTGCATTTAAAAGTTCGAGTTGCATTTTCATTTTTTTATCATTGGATAATATGTAGGTCTAACTGCACAGCAACAAGTATAGTCAAACCACCATAGTTGTGGTTGAGTGTTAAGTATTCATTCATTCTTGATCAAAGGTTTCGGGTTCGAGTCACTGGGTATGTAGTCGCCTTTGTTAGGGAGCGCTTTACTCCCAATGTGGGACTTTCCGATGCGAATCCGGATTTAATCGGGCCCCAATGTGGATACCGAACACCGAATGGAAAACCAAAAAAAAAAAAACAAGTATAGTCAAAATTGTTACAATAAAAAACTCCTTAGATACCAAAAATATTAACTCTATATTAAGGCTAATGAACTCGAAATTCATATCAAAGTCGTCCAACTTTCTTGCCAAATTAAAGCGAAATCAAGATGGATAATAAACTCAATAAAATTCTGTATTAGTGATAATTTATATAGTCGATCCCAATTTATTTGGAACTGAAATTAACATCATTATTGTTGTTGTATTCTAGCCGGCCCCATTCCCACCTTTTGTTGTTGCTATTTTCATTAAAATAAAACTCTAGTTTGTTAGATCCTAGAAAAACCAAAAGTACTCACTTTTGACGGCCTTATATGATAAAATCGCTATAGAGTATATTTAAGGGTCTATTTTGAAAATTTAAAAAAAAAAAAAAGTTAAAAAGAAAAAAACTAGAGGTCTATTTTGAATTTACTCCCAAATATAAGGATCCCTGGAAACAGCCTCTCTGCCCCTCGGGGTAGAGGTAAGGTCTGCGTACATATTACCCTCCCCAGACCCCACTTGTGGGATTACACTGGGTTGTTGTTGTTGTTGTTGTTGTTGTCCCAAATATAAGGATCACTTTTGTCATTTTTTCTCGTATTTCAGGTAGTTTTTTTTGCAAATATTGATTAAAGTTATTTTTGTCATAAGTGAAGCAAATTAAAATGACTTTTACGTAACAAAAGAAAGAATAGTGACTTTTGGGTAATGAACATAAAGATGGATGACCACATATGAAATTTACTCCTTGAAATAGCCCACCATTCTTGCAAAATTAAAGCGAAATTAAGATTGATAATCAAAACATCAAAATTCCATATTAGTGATAAAATAAGTTTAGTTAATAATAAGGAAGGGCAAGATGAGAGGAAAAAATAGTTAGCGACGCGACCACATCCAAATCGGTCGTTACATAAAGCGATGCTCTTCGTCATTTTTATGATAAGGTGAAGTATTATTAATAAAAAGTGTACCAAGAAGGTACACAAAGAGAGCGACGCTCTTCGTCATTACGTAACAATAAATTTAATGATACGATAAAATAAATTAAGTAATAATCAAAATAAATATTGTATTTAAAGTAACTATCCAATACAATAGATAACAACCATCCAAACTAGCTGTTAAAGCAAAATCAAGATTGATAATAAACTCAACAAAATTCAAAATTAGTGACAATTCATATAGCCGACTCTAACTTATTTGGAACTGAAGCTAGCGTCATTGTTGTTGTTATATTCCAACTTCACAAATTGTTTTAAGGGCATATTGGATTCTTTCGCGGCCCTCCAAAGTGAAATTTAGGTTTTTCAACATAATAATAATAAAGAAAATTGATACAATACAATAGATAACAACCATCCAAACTAGCTGTTAAAGCAAAATCAAGATTGATAATAAACTCAACAAAACTCAAAATTAGTGACAATTCATATAGCCGACCCTAACTTATTTGGAACTGAAGCTAGCGTCATTGTTGTTGTTATATTCCAACTTCACAAATTGTTTTAAGGGCATATTGGATTCTTTCGCGGCCCTCCAAAGTGAAATTTAGGTTTTTCAACATAATAATAATAAAGAAAATTGATACAATACAATAGATAACAACCATCCAAACTAGCTGTTAAAGCAAAATCAAGATTGATAATAAACTCAACAAAACTCAAAATTAGTGACAATTCATATAGCCGACCCTAACTTATTTGGAACTGAAGCTAGCGTCATTGTTGTTGTTATATTCCAACTTCACAAATTGTTTTAAGGGCATATTGGATTCTTTCGCGGCCCTCCAAAGTGAAATTTAGGTTTTTCAACATAATAATAATAAAGAAAATTGATACAATACAATAGATAACAACCATCCAAACTAGCTGTTAAAGCAAAATCAAGATTGATAATAAACTCAACAAAACTCAAAATTAGTGACAATTCATATAGTCGGCCCTAATTTATTTGGAAATGAAGCTAGCGTCATTGTTGTTGTTATATTCCAACTTCACAAGTTATTTTAAGGGCATATTGCATTCCTTCCCGCGGGCCTCCAAAGTGAAATTCAGGGTTTTTAACGTAATAATAATAAAGAAAAATGATACAATACAATAGATAACAACCATCCAAACTAGCTCTTAAAGCGAAATCAAGATTGATAATAAAATCAACAAAATTTCATATTAGTGACAACTCATATAGCCGAATAACCCAACTTGTTTGGAACTGAAACTAGCGTCGTCGTTGTCGTTGTATTCTAACTTCATAAATGTATTTTAAGGGCATATTGGATTTCTTCCCGGCCCTCCTAAGTGAAATTCAGCTTTTTCAACATAATAATAATAAAGAAAATTGATACAATACAATAGAGAACAACCATCCAAACTAGCTGTTAAAGCGAAACCAAGATTGATAATAAACTCAACAAAATTCAAAATTAGTGACAATTTCATATAGCCGACCCTAACTTGTTTTGAACTGAAGCTAGCGTCATCGTGTCGCTATATTCTAAATTCACAATATGTTTTAAGGGCATATTGGATTCCTTCCCAGCCCTCCAAAGTGAAATTCAGGTTTTTCAACATAATAATAATAATAAAGAAAATTGATACAATACAATAGAGAACAACCATCTAAACTAGCTGTTAAAGCGAAACCAAGATTGATAATAAACTCAACAAAATTCAAAATTAGTGACAATTTCATATAGCCGACCCTAACTTGTTTTGAACTGAAGCTAGCGTCATCGTGTCGCTATATTCTAAATTCACAATATGTTTTAAGGGCATATTGGATTCCTTCCCAGCCCTCCAAAGTGAAATTCAGGTTTTTCAACATAATAATAATAATAAAGAAAATTGATACAATACAATAGAGAACAACCATCTAAACTAGCTGTTAAAGCGAAACCAAGATTGATAATAAACTCAACAAAATTCAAAATTAGTGACAATTCATATAGCCGACCCCAACTTGTCTGCAACTGAAACGAGCGTCACTGTTAACAATGTGTTTTAAGGGCATATTGGATTCCTTCCTGGACCTCCAAAATGAAATTCAGGTTCTTCAACATAATCACCCATATACTGAGTACGATAACAATCATATTCCTCAGAATAAGCATCAACATATTCTGGAAATTTCAACTCCATTGAATTTTGAAGAACTCTTATTCTTTTCATAAATCCTGTATTTGCATATATAAAAATAGGAAATGCTCCACTTCCCATTTGTGTTTTTGTATGTGGATGTGTTCCTACTTTGCTGCTATAAACTTCACCACCCCATTGAACTGTTTCTGCATGGTATTTTAGCCCACCTTCAAATATCTCTGATGGCCAATATCCTATGTTTATTTTTTCTCCATATTGTAGCCACCAGTTGCTTGTATTTAAATCCTAATTTGGTGAAAAATATAGAGAAATTATAAGATCAAAGAAAAAAAAGAGAGAATTGTCAAATGTGAGCAAGTTATCTATATTTGTAAAGCAAGGTAGGCCGGTGCATTAAGCTTCCTCTATACGCGGGGTGCGGGGAAAGGCCGGACCACAAGGGTCTATCGTGCGCAGCTTTACCTTGCATTTCTGCAAGAGGCTGTTTTCACGGCTCGAACCCGTGACCTCCTGGCCGCATGACAACAACTTTATCAGTTATGCCAAGGCATGTAAATTAAATTAATACAACAACAACAACAATAACAACAAACTCAATATATTTCTATTACAAGTAGTGTCTGGGGGAAATAGATAGTACGCAGACCTTCCCCCTATAGTAAATGTAGAGATGTTGTTTTCAATAGGCCCTCGGCTTGAGAAAAATGAGAAAAGAGCGGTAGCAACAAGCAACAACGAGAACAAGATAAAAGTAAATTAAATTAATAATATGTTTTTTTTAACTTGATTTTGGATATGCATGAGTACAAGAAATAAGAAAAGAAAGATTTAAAGATTTTAATTATATATATTGATAGTGCTATAATAATTTTTATGTTGTTAGGAAACTTTAACTAGATATAATTAGCAATTTGTTATTCTATTTTTTTAGTAATTATTTTATCAAATTTGCTATAAAAAGTTACATATTATTGTCAACCTAAAAAATTACATATATATGTTGATATTATGATAACCTGCTAAGTCCAATTAAATTAGTTTGATACTATAAAATTAATACATTATCAACATATATAACTTAAATTCATAACATAACGTGCCCTCGACGTGTATTAATTTGCGAAAGCATCCGTGAAAATTGACAAAAAATAAGACTCATGTTTGTTGTCAAAATGCAAGCAAATCATTCTTATTTGAAGGGGAAAAAAATAGAATATTTGTCAATGTCTAGTATATTAAACATGTTTATATTTCAAGATGTTGTCATATAAATGTATATGGATCATAGTGTGATGGATAAGAATTCTTCACCCTTGACCCGAGACTTCGGTTTCAAATATAGGAAATTAAGAAAATATGGAGCATTTCCTTCTACAATGGATCTTACACTTACGACGCAAATCAGAATTAGTTTGGACCCAATGTGAATATCGAACTGGAAAACCAAAAAAAAAAAGTATTATGTTACTAACCTTGTAAATATAAACAGTAATTGAATAAGGGAGACCATTTTGGGTTGAGATTGGGTATATAGCTGCACCAAGTGCTATCTCATGGCTGGTTTGTACAAAACCAGGACAAGCCAGGTCAAAGCAACCTGTTTCTCTTGAGCCATCAGTCTATCATTTGAACATCCAAACACAAGTGAAATTCATTACATAAGACTTTATTAGATCGAGTTTGTTTCATTTTATATGACAGTATTTGAATGAGCACGTAACTTAATAAAACAGTAAGATTCTTGACACATATTCTTGACGATATTTAGTTTTTATCTATAACAAGATATCACTCTTTCTTGATATATATATAACAAGTCATTAAGAACAAAATAAAAGTGATAAAACTAAAGCGTCTTCACATATAACAAGATATCAATTTTTCCTTCCTGATATTCTTACCATATTTGATTTTTCTATCTCTTGAAGGAAGAACGACATATTTACCATTATTGGTTTTACCTTTTACGAAAAGGAAAATATAATTCAATGTATCATTTCAAATTGAATAAACCTTTTAGAATCACTAAACTTGTCAGATTACATTTATCATAGTTATTTTTTATATTTCAAGACCAGACTTTAAAAAGATAAGGTGAAAGAGATGAGATAATAAAGAAGAGAGCCAATTAGATGGTGTTTGGCTAAGCTTATAAGCTGGTCAAACTGGCTTATAAGCACTTTTTGGCTTATCTACGCGTTTGGTAAAATTAAAAGTGCTTATAAGTTAAGTGCTTATAAGCCAAAAATAAGCCAAAAGGCATAAGTTGGTCTCCCCCAACTTATCAAATTTCAGCTTATAAGCACTTTAGGTTTGACCAAAATATTTACTATTCTATCCCTAAAATAATTCTTTTTAAACAAAACTCTTCGTATACCCAATTCTTCCGCTGCTTATTATTAATTCCAGCACTTTTATCCAAACACGTAACTGTTTATTTTTTAAATCAGCTTCAGCACTTAAAAGTGTTTTTCAGCACCTAATGCTTATCAGCTACTTAAATCAGCTAAGCCAAACGAGCTCTTAGTAAGAATTCAAGCTTATTTCAAGCCATTTCACTCAAATTACAACTTTAAGAAGTCAAGCATGAAATAAAGAGAATATGATCACCACTAGTTATTTTCTTTCTAGTGTTGTAAACAGTAAATTGTGTTAAATGCACCCCTATATAATATGGTAAATAATTTTATCAAAATAGTCCTATATATTATATATGTGTTGAACTTCCAAAAAAAATAAAAAAAATAATGATGACTTAAAAAAATGAAGAAAAAAATATAAGAACTTACAGTCCAATAAGTGAAAAATCGCGTCTGCCTATCACCATAAACCCTTGGATTAACCTAAAATGTTAGAAGTTAAATCAACCAGTTAGTAAATGCTACAAATTATTAATGACGTGCGAATTTAATTCTATGAAACTTCACTGATAGTTTAAAGAATTTTTACACTACCAATAACATAATACTAGAAGCTATGTTGCATGGACTCTCTCCAAAAATGTTGTCATATTCGTATTGAATCTGCCAAAATACATTACTTTTGGAGATTCCAATGCGCATCCGGCGATATTTTTGGAGAGTCTTAGTAACATAAACTAGAAATATGAACAACACTAAAAGTTATGTTGTGTGGACTCTCTAAAAATGCTACTGTATCCATGTAGAATCCGTCAAAATACATTATTTTTGAAGAATTCAACGTGCATCCAACAAGCATCAAGGGAAGAACGACCAAAAAACTGAAAGTTAGAAGACAAAAGAGAGTTTCAAAAAAGAAGTCCAAGGTGACATTTAAACATGTTAAGGTATCTGGCAACTCCAAAAACAAGGGAGGTATAGAAGCTGCTATGAATGACCAACAAGAAAACAACTTGCAAATGAATACTCAGATGGATACTAACAGAAGTGAGGATAAGATACAAAATGGAGATGAAGGAAGCACTGATGTGATCAAGAATGATAGTCAAAATGAGAATGAAGAAGCAGTGCAAGAATCAAGCAATATTGAGGCCACCAAAACAGACAAGGCTCCTGACTGGCAGATGTATATCAATGAATCAACTAGTGTCCCTTCAGACATCAAGAATCTGCCAGGAATTTGCCTGGCAGTCGATTTGATCCTTGAAGAACAGGAAGCCCACACAGAAGCAGCCTCAATGAGCAGAGTAACTCAACAACAATTTGAAGTAACTTCCCCCAACAGTGTCACTGTTGTGATTCCAAAAGATCAATTACATACTGGGCATGACAACGAGGAAGGGGATGGTTTCTCACCTGTGACTAGGGCTGTCAAATTTGGCCCAAGCCCAAATGACCCGCCCAACCCGTCCAAGGTTGGGTTGGTTATTGACCCGCCCATTTATTGAACTTAGCCCATCTTGACCCAATCCATCTCAATCCAATTAAAGTTGGACTAATTTTTAGCCCAAATTGATCCATGAGTAAGTTTGTCAAAATATCTGAGAAATAATTTTATTTTTTGTCTAATATTTTAAATATGACCATAACAAAAGCAAAAAATCCTTATTTAGTAATTATACAATTTATAAGAAAATAGAATATATTAATTAAAGTTTAATAAGAGTTGGGCGGATTGAGTTATGACCCGAATTTTAACCCATTTTGACCTAACCCATCTTAGCCCAAGTAACTTTTGGGCGGGTCATTTGACCCGCCCAATTATTGACTCAACCCATTTTGACCCGCTCAGTTGACACACCTACCTGTGACCAAACCCAGAAACCAAAATAAAAAGAAAGAAAAGAAGAAAAATGCAATACCAATTCACTTCCTCGGGGAGGTAGATCAAACTAATCCTCCTCCCATGTTTCCATGATTAGTGCAATCTTCTGGAATATTAGAGGAGTGAACACCAAGAAAGACATGCCTAGGCTTAAAAAACTTGTCAACATCAACAAAGTGGATTTCATAGCTATTATGGAACCGTTTGCCAACATGAACAAGATTGATAAATACATGAGGTATCTCAAGCTTCGACACTGCATCTCCAACACCAATGGGCAAATCTGGCTCGTGTGGTCAGGTAATTATCAAACAAGTGTAATTAGTATAGATGACCAACAAATCACCATCAAAATGCAGAATGGGGTGAGTACTACTAATATGTTCATCACTGTTGTCTATGCTAAATGTAATGCAAAGGAAAGAAAAGATCTTTGGAGTAGTTTAGAGGATACTCATATGTTGATTGATGGGCCATGGTGCATTGGAGGAGATTTCAATGTTATTCTTGATTCATATGAGAAACAGGGGGGTCGTCCACACAGAATGTACAAAAGCCTAGATTTCAGCTCTTGTATGAACAATTGTGAAGTTAAGGATTTGGGCTACGTTGGACCTAAATTCACTTGGTGTAATAATTGGGAGTCTAGAAGAAGAATTTGGAAGAGACTTGATAGAATTTTGTAAATGATTTATGGTGCCAACTACTTCAAAATAACATTGTCAAGCACCTTCCGAGGACTGGATCAGACCATAGACCATTGCTGCTTAGTTGTTACAACAGGAACAATAATGGCATAAAGTACTTTAGATTCCTTGACGTCTAGACCGAGCAGCCTTCCTTCATGAACCTGGTTGAAGAAGTGTGAGCAACTAACATACGTGGGAATGCTTTGTGGAAACTTAAACAGAAACTAAAGATGCTCAGCAAAAGACTTACTCAATGGTCTAAAAAAGAAGTTGGCAATATTTTCGATCATATTCAACACTGGGAGGCTAGAATTCAAGACCTTAAGGAGTTAGATTTAAAAAACAACATTGATTTCTCTAGAGAAGAACCGAACAAAGGGCAAGCAGAATACATTAGATGGATGACCATGCAAGATGCTATCTTGAAACAGAAAGCTAATATCAAGTGGTTTGAAGAAGGTGACTCCAATACCAAGCACTTTCACAGCTTAATCAGAGAAAAAGAAGAAAACTACAACTCCACAGGATCAAAGATAATAGAGACAAATGGGTGGAAGATGATGATAACATAGCAAAAGTTGCCATAACACTTCCATAAGAGAATCAACATCAATCACCAATTCAGAGATACTGAAATTCTTGAATGCATCCCTCAACGAATCACTGGTGAAGACAATAGAACTCTCACTGCCATTCCTAATATTGATGAAATCAAAGATGCTGTCTTTGATATGGGAGCTACAAGTGCAGCAGGGCTTGATGGTTTCAATGGCACCTTTTTTCATAAATGCTGGGATATTATCAAAAATGATATTACTGATTTTGTTCAAGAGGTTTTCAATGGGAAGAGGCTTTCCAAATTCTTCTCACATACCTGCCGTGTCCCGCTTCCTAAAGTGGAGTCTCCAAACAATTTCTTTGAGCTTAGACCTATCAGTCTAAGCAATTTCACTGCCAAGATCATCTCCAAAATCTTTTCAAGAACACTTAACCCTATGCTTCACAAGCTTATCTCAGAGAATCAAAGTGGTTTTGTCAAAGGAAGATCTATCATTGAAAACATTCTACTTGCGCAAGAGATCACTCAGAATATCAACCATAGGAACCGTGGTGGTAATGTTATTATCAAGACAGATATGGAGAAAGCCTATGACAGAATGTCTTGAAATTTTCTTATGTCTGTTATGAGGAAATATGGTTTCTCCAAGGAAAAGATTGACATCATTTGGAGTTTGGTCAATGAAGTTTGGTATTCTATTATTATCAATGGTAATAGAAAAGGTTTCTTTACTTCTTCCCACGGTTTGAAGCAAGGGGGTCCTTTGTCCCCATCCTTGTTCATCATTGGTGCTGAAGTTTTGTCCAGATCTTTGATTAAACTATTTGAATATGACAACTTCACTCCATTCAGCATGAATAACGGAGGACCCAACATCAACCACTTAGCCTATGCAGATAACATTGTCATATTCTGTGGTGGAAACAAGCAGTCTATCAAGCTTATCAAGAATCAAATCAAGAGGTATGAAAAGGCCTCGGGGCAAAGAGTCAACAATGATAAGAGTTACCTCATTACTTCTCCTAACACCTCTGCCTACAGGATCAATAGAATTAGACAAGCTTCTGGTTTCATGGATAAAAGGTTTCCTTTCAATTACTTGGAATGCCCTATCTATCATGGGAGGAAGAACACTGTCCTATTTGAGGGCATATTAGCTAAAATTGTTAAAAGACTCGATGGATGGCAAGGCAAGATTTTATCATCAGGTGAAAAATCATTCTGATCAAGCATGTTCTACAATCGCTTCCAACTTATATTCTGTCGGCTATGAACCCCCCCAATCTACTATTACCCTCAGGGAAAAACATTTTGTGAATTTCTTCTGGGGATCTACAAATGGTAAGAACAAATACCACTGGAGCTCTTGGCACAATATGTGCCTTCCCAAAGATAAAGGTGGCATTGGCATAAGGAAGATGCAAGATGTGATTGAAACCTTTAATATCAAAAGATGGGGAAGGTTTAGAATGCAACATTCTTTATGGGCCGCCTTTCTCAAAGCCAAGTATTGTAAGAGATCTCATCATGTGAGTAAAGTCCTCAACTCATCAGATTCTCACAGATGAAAATATCTATTGAAGACCAGGAGTAAAACCGAAATGCACATTAACTGGAAAATTCAAAATGGTTCATCCAGCTTCTGGTGGGATAATTGGACTGGTAAAGGACTCTAGCTCACATGTATCAAGGTATCAGGAAATTTGCAAACACTCAAGTAAATGGCTTCTTTCATAATGGGTAATGGGACATCAACAAGTTAAACCAGGTTCTTCCTTCTCATATTACTGGTTACATTATTAAAATTGATATAGATAATGATATGGAAGATGGCTTCCCTGTTTGGAATTCTTCTGATGATGGTTTGTTTTCAAACAAATTGGCTTGGCACCTAATTAAATAAAAAAAATGATTTCTCAAAGAAAGTTTGGCATCATTCTACCCTTTTAAAATGTCCTTCCTAACTTGGAGACTTCTTAAAATAAAACTCCCGTTTGATGACATGATTGGTAGGTTTGGTACTAACATCACTTCGAGATGTTCTTGTTGTAGTGTCCAACAGGTTGAGACTATGCAACATGTGTTCGTGGAAAGCGAGGCAGCTATGTTCATTTGGAAGGCAATGGAAAACCCGCTCGGAATTGGGCATCAACAGGCCCCTATTCATGCCATCTTCAAAAATTGGTGGGAAGGAAAAGCAAAGAACAAAGTACATGGCCCGATTCTCCAAGTAGCACCAACTGTCATATGCTGGGGGATTTGGAAACAGAAAAGCTCCTGTAGATATGGCACGCAGAAGAAATTTCATCTCAGGTTATATGGACTATCAAATCCATAATCTCCAATCTAATGCCGAATGGAGAGGTCTCTTATCACTGACCTACCTTATGCAGCAGGATAGAAAAGTTGAGACCTGTTCAAACTTGAAAGCAAGTTTAATGGCATCCTCCTCTATATGACACTATCAAAGTTAACACTGATGGTAGTTACATAAAGGAAAGCAGGAAAGCTGGCATAGGAGGGATAATCAGAGATGGGAATGACAATTGTATCATGGCCTTTGTTATGCCTGTTAATTGTGATAGCAACAACATGGCCGAAGCCTTAGCTGCGGAGTTTAGAGGAAAATGGTGCAACCAATTAGGTTTCGCTAATTTTGCTCTCGAACTAGACTCAACTGTCATTGTTAACATGATCAACCAAAGAGGAACAAAGCACATGAAACTAAAATGGTGGTGGATAGGATTATAAAAGTTGTCCAAAATGCAAATGCGACTGTTCAACACTGCTACAGAGAGGGCAACCAGTAGCCGATGCCTTAGCTAAACTAGCCTCCACCTCCAGTACAAAGTTGATCTGCCACTCTTTCGGCCAACTACAAAAGGAAGCTAAAGGCCCCTTCATTCTGGATAAATGGCAAATGCCTGGTATTAGAACAAAATATGATAAGTGCAACTTTTTTGTTAGTTTATTATGTATATATATATGTACTGGCAGTTGAGAGGACTTTGTATATCTCCTGCTATTTTTTGGGCGATAGAAATCACCATGTTGTATTATCTTATTGAGGTAAGGTCAAGCCACCCTCACTGCAATTTTTTTTGAAATACAACATCTCCCCGACCTCTGTCTGGGGTACTTCAGTTAAAAAAAAAAAGTGCATCCGACAATATTTTTGGAGAGTCTTAGCAACATAAATTAGAAGTACGAACAACATTATATTGTGCGGACTCTCTAGAAAATGATGTTGCACCCTTGTCAAATCCGCTAAATTACACTACTTTTGGATATATCAACGCGCATTCGGCGATATCCCAACAATATCTTTGGAGAATCCGAGCAGCATATTATAAGGGATAATAAATAAATAAAAAGAGAAGGTAAGAGAAAATATTATACTAACTGCCCATCCAGATTCAATGTCTTGATAGTCATAGTAAGCTCCACTCATAAGAGCTACTCGAGAAGTGCTATACTCATCATCTGCTTCAACATGAGGATTCCACGTTACCATGTCTGTTTTTGCTCCTAAATATCTATATCCTTCTGTATGTAGTATAGCCAACTTCATATTCATGTCACAAAATGAAAAAGAAATAAAAAGAATAGGGTTAGACGAGAAGTAAGAATTTCGATATAATATTTACATAATCTAATCACCTGTAATGTAGAAAAAAAATATTTAAATTCTATAAGAAATATATATCTCAATATTTTACCCTTAATTTGTTGTACCTTGACGTTGTTAATACTATTATCGTTAGTAAAATATTGGTCTTGACAATTAAATGTAGTTCTAGCTAGCGAATAAATTGAGTGATAATTTTCACCTTCTCATTCATTATATTAGGTTAGGAGATCGAATCAAGCACGCATAATGCAACATTATAATTATTTCGTGTGTCAAAATATTTGGAAAAAGTCCTATTTACCCTTTACTTTTGACTATGGTTTAGAACTATTCTTTGTTATACTTCAGATTTTGAACTCCGTTCATGTCAAGGTTTGCTAACTCCATCACTTATAAATTATAATGCAGGAAAAATATTCTTTATACCATTTGCTAACGCCAATGGTATAAAGGGTCCAAAGTATAACGATGGATAAAATTAAATATAACTTTCGTATAGTAGAGGGTCATTTTTTTACCCCTTTTCTAAAATGTACTCTAATTACTAGTATATATATATATATATATATATGTGTGTGTGTGTGTGTGTGTGTGTATGTATGTATTGGAAAAAATTGTATTTAAATATAAAGGTGATGTGTCGAAACACGTAGACTGGTCAAATGATCAAAGAATTACAACTAGCCAAGAGGCACGAGTTGCAACAGATACGAGCAAACGACAGAGGAAGAGGCACGGGAAGGTATACAAATAACCTAGCGCCCGTACCTATCTAAGTCATTTATGTCCGAGAATCAAAAGGAATGAATCAGACAATAGAAAAGAGTGCAGATACGACATTTAATAGGCATTAAATGTGGAATACGTTAGAGAATTTGTATTGAATGTAATGATTATGTAACGTAGCATTCAATGTCTTTAATTACTCATAATAGCCTCATTATGATTTGGGCAAAATGTATATCTCCAAGATATCTATAAAAGGGAGATATCTGATCAATTGTAAGGACACGAAATACTATTGGAATAAACTTTGATTTACTTGTTTTTCTCTTGATTACTCTCTTGCTACCTAAATTACTTCCTTTTATACATTCTTTTGATTATCAGTAACCCGTGTTCTTCTAAATTCTAGCTTTGACTAAAATTTTATTTTTTGGTTAAACAAATTGGTTCCGTTACCGGGAATCTGATAATCTATTTTCTTTTCGCTTAACTTCCCTTGTTGCATCAACTATGTCGAACAACAATGACAACATTTAAGGAAACCAAGAAAACCAAATAAACGAACAACTTTAGAGAGACTCTCAGGATAATAACGCACTAAATATTTCTCCACAAGGCTCTCCTCGGCAATCTTGTGAAGGCACTCCTGAGGGATCTCATACAGATGGACAGACTCAATTCGAAAATGTTGAAGCTATGGATGAGGCTTTGTAAAAACTTATTACCGCACAGGTCAATAAAGCCGTTCAGTCCTTGGTTAGCCAGTTACCTTCTGCACCACCCACACCTACTCCAAATAACAACACTCTGGAGAACCCTCATTCCGAGCTTGTGAATTCAGGCAGCGGAGGAACCCCCAGTGAATCGCAAGATGGAGAACCAGGTAATTTAGTTAATTCAGATTTATAAAATTTAGTACTAACCTTTCAGAAACAGCTCAAGGAGCAAAGTGAGCTCATAGAGCAGATACTCGGGGTGCCGCCCATAATCAAAGGGGTAGATATGGATGGAAGCCAAGTGCTGCTCCACTCCCAGTTCCAAAAAAGTTCAAAATGCCTGATATTCCAAAATATGATGGAACAATAGACCCACGAGATCATGTGACTGCATTCACAATGGGTGTAAAAGGCAACGATTTGACTAAGCAGGAGATTGAATCAGTATTAGTCAAAAAATTTGGTGAAACGCTCACCAAAGGAGCGCTAACATGGTATTCTCTTTTACCCAAAAATTCTATAAATTCTTTTGCTGAGCTTGCAGATTCTTTCATCAAAGCACACTCGGGAGCTCAAAAAGTAGAGAAAAGAATGGAGGATATTTTCAAAATCAAGCAAGGGGACTCAGAACTGCTTAGAGAATTCGTGGACAGATTTCAACATGAAAGAATGACATTGCCACGTGTACCTAACAATTGGGCAGCTATAGCTTTCACAAGTAATTTGAATGAAAAAATCTCGGAAGCTACGAGGAGACTCAAGGAAAGCCTTCGAGAATTCCCGGCTACAACGTGGAATGATGTTTCTAACAGGTATAGCACGAAGCTGAGGATTGAGGAAGATACTGTTCCACGATTTCAAAAAGAAGAAAAGGTAAGTTCGAGATGTGCGCATACCTAAAAAAATCCGGTAAAAATAGGTACGAGCCTTACATGGGACCCGCGAGAAAGGACTCACGATCAAAGCAAGATAATCAAAGGTACGATCACAGATCAAGAAACAGAGAATCGGGTTCTTCATGAAGATTTAGGAACGAGCAAAACAACTATGAGTCACGAGATGATGATAGAAATTTAAAAGCGAGATTCGGTGGTTACAACTTCAACGTCAGCACCTCCGAGCTCGTAGCTATTTTGAGAAGCATGGGAGATAAGGTTCGATGGCCAAAGGAAATGAGATCGAATCCAAACAGGCGCAACCCTGACCATTGGTGTAAGTTTCATAATGACCACGGACATAAAACATCAGATTGCAGATTTTTACAAAGTGAAGTTGATCATTTATTAAAACAAGGATATCTTACTAAGTTGTTCAGTGAGAAAGGCAAGCAAGCTTACATGAAGAACATGCAGGAGCCTCCAAAACCACCTTCTCCCAAAAGAACTGTCAATGTTATAAGTGGGGGTGAAGACATCAATGGTATATCATATACTGCAGCTAACAAAATTTTCAAAGTAACAATAACCCAAGGGAAACGGGTGCGACATGTTTTAGAGGAAGACAACATTACATTCAATGATGCAGATGCAGATGGCATATTAACCCCTCATAACGACGCACCGGTAATATCTTTAATTATACATGATACTAATGTGAAACGAGTTTTGATTGATCCAGGTAGTTCCGTGAACATTATTTTACTAAGAGTTACGTGAGATGCAAGCTGAAGATAAACTGATACCAAAGACGCATACTCTATCTGGATTTGATAATTCTAGTGTCCTCACGAAAGGAGAGGTAACACTCACCA